GTGTCCTCGCACTGCTGCAGGGAGCTCCTCAGGCAGGCTGAGTGCTGACCCTGGCAGGCAGCGTGCTGACCCTGGCAGGCAGCAGGTTCCTTGCCCTGGTACACAGCCCCCGTGGGATGCAGGGACCCTGCTCGGAAGGACAGCCCTGGGCACCCCATGCTGCACACCTGACGTCACACCCCTTGGAGTCATGCCTGGGAGAAGGCGGTCATCACACCCAGTCCTCTGATGGTGTAGTGGGGAATCCCTGCTCTGGAGCACGTCCTTCTCTTCTGCACTAGAGAAACGCTGAGAGTCCTCCTGACAGATTCCAGAAGCTGTGGGTTGTGCCAGCTTAGAAGACCTTTCCAGGAGCCACAGCTCTGCTGCCCTACACCCAGAGACTTGCCGTATTTAGGGCTGAGAACATTTCTCCCCTAGTGGACACTCAGCTCTCCTCCCACTTGAGATTGCCATCTCGCTCTTCCTCACTGTCTTTCCTCAGTGTCTTCAGGCAGTGCCCTCAGTCCTGCTGGGACAGAGGAGCTGCTTCTGGGCAGAGATGTCTCTTTGAAGTGTTTCCCTGTTGCCGTGAGCTCCTTCCATCCCAGGAACCCAGCCCAGCTCAGCAGCACACGACCAGCCCAAGGCAGCAGAATGCAGCACTTTCTTTACCCACTCTGGGCTCCCTTGAGGTGTCCTTTGGTCTCCAGGACAACTTGCTTTGAAACAGGCTGAAGCAATCACTGATGTTGCCTCCCTCAGCTGGAGAGAGAAGCTTAGTTTCAACAGTATCATTTCTCCTCTCAGAGAAAGAGTTAGAAACAAACATCATCTTTCCTTTCTCCATCAGTAGTCAGGACAACCAGAAAGTGATAGGGAGGGTGCTGTAGCAACCTTTTGCAGGGAAGTAGTGGCTTCAGGGTCAAGACTGCGGGGGGGCGTGTAAGTCAGCGTCCCCTTTTAGCAGTCTAAATAAAGGACTTAGGTCCGCATTAGAAATCCCCAACAGTGGTCGGACCCAATTGATTGTTCCCAACAATTTCTGTAACATCATGTAAATTTTGTATGTCTGTCCGTATCTGTAGAGGTTGGGGAGTTATAGTTTGGGCCCTGATGCGCCAACCTAAGTATTTCCATGGAGATATCTTTTGAACCTTTTTCGGCGCAATACAGAGGTCTGCCGAGTTAACTGCAGTCATGACAAGAGCTACAGCTTCCTCCATGACCTCATGGAGTTGTGCAGCCACCAGGATGTCATCCATATAGTGATACAACAAGACACTAGGCATTGTAGTTCTAACAGGGGTAAGTACTTTAGCTACATACCACTGACAAATCGTAGGACTATTCTTCATTCCCTGTGGCAGCACAGCCCACTGGTATCTTTGCATAGGGGCTTGCATGTTGACGCTTGGAACTGAAAAGGCAAATTTAGGAGCATCGTCTGGATGCAGTGGGATATTAAAAAAGCAGTCTTTGAGGTCAATAACAGTCAAGTGCCAATCTCGAGGGATCATAGTAGGGGACGGGAGTCCTGGTTGAAGGGCTCCCATATCTTCCATAGCGTCATTAATTTTTCTAAGGTCATGGAGTAAGCGCCACTTGCCAGTTTGTTTCTTGATGACAAAGACAGGTGAATTCCAAGGGCTAGTGGAGGGCAC